AAAAAAAAAAAAAAAGCCAGTTAATATGGTGATGGTTCGCAGGTAACTTGGTGGAAATTTTATGGGGATTATAGCTGAGAGGAGAAATAAAACATAGCACAAAAATGAACATTGTTATATATCTATATATTTAAATCAGTCGTGTTGGTAGGTGCTAGACTTATTATCACATCATTCTGAGTACTGGTAGGTAAAGAAAAAATATTTATCCTGCTGTTACTGTATTATCCTGCTGTTAGTGTATTTCGGTATAACCCAAGAATTGGTGAGAAAATTTCTTTTTTTTTTTTTTAAGATTTATTCATTTACTTATGTATACAGAACTGGGGTACAGGTCAGAGGTGCAGGGGCAGTGAGAGGGCTCACCAGAGACAGTGGGGAGCAGAACAGGCCGACTGATGAAGTATACAGCTGAGGGGAGCCGGCAGTTCAGTAGAGGTCTGCTGTGCTATGTGGGTCACCTCCAGAGCGGGGATCAAATTCATGCTAAAGTGGCTTTAGCTTCGTAGTGCTGTGCCACCAGGGAGGGCCAAGAAAATTTCTTTTTAAAAAAGAATTCTAGACAGAAAATGCAGTTAAAATGATAGAATGAGAAGATGGTTATTTTTGCATTTCCATCAAACAATCAGTGGTCTTAAGCCAGGGCTCTAAAACTAACTGATGAGGACAGGTGTTTTATTTTAAACTTACAATATATTGAGAAGTGAAATTTTTGTAAAATGTAATAAAACATGGCAATTGCTGTAAAAACTTAAAAACTTTGCAAGTTTTTTATTTACTGCAAATTGATAGCAAACCATTGGGGATTGGGACCACTACCACTTGAATATTGGCCTAAACAGTGATCATGAGTGCATATCAAAACTGTTATATGAAAGATCCATGAGATTTAAAAGGGTGGATTTGACTAGACACACTGAAGCTTACTTATAACACTGCTATAAGTGAACAAACATTGTGTGTCTCCTTATGTAATACAATAGAATATTCATAGCACCAACTATGAAATCCCCACTCCCAAGCCAAAAATCAAATTTCAACTTAATCAGGTTTCTAGAAATTCCTGATGGCTTATAGTGATGAGCAGTGCACTTCGTCGATCTCCCTGTTCTGCTCCCCACTCTGTCTCTGGTGAATCCTCTCGCCCTCCGCACCTCTGGCCTGTGCCCCAGTTCTGTATGAATAAATAAAAAAGAAAAAAAAAGATTATGGGGTTTGGTTTTTGTTTGTATTTTCAAAGTCTGTTCAAGTAGATGTAATATCTGGAATTTGCTTTAGAATACTTTAGGGTGATCAAGGCCCCAGGGAGGAGAATAGATGAAAAAAATAGGAAATTGGTGATAATAACTTAAGCTTAGTAACACATATCAAAGATAAAACAAAACCAAACATTAAGAGGTAAAAGCACTTCGTTCATAACTATTGAAAGTAGGAGAAATTGCTGAGTTCCTCCTGAATTGTGATAAGGTGACAGGCATTTTAGATTGAGGAAGTAAAGAAGGAGGAAGAGAAGTGGCCCAAGTGAAAAATTGCAGAGCTGGTTAGTGTGAATGCCCATGAGTCCACCTCTGTGCTGTTGGCAATTAATGAAGTTAAGATTCTATTCTCCCACATAGACTAGAGGACAGAAGCCCTATCCTTCCTGGTACTTATTAACCTTTCAAAGGAATGACTTTCAGATTCTTGAGAAACTCCTCTTTTGTAGGAGAAACATGTCCATCTCAGAGAGACTGAGAACATATTGACAGGTATAAGCCTTTTTTACTAAATACTATAAGAAAGGATGATGAGAGGTTCATCTTAAGGTGTTGACAAGAAGAAACAGTAAATTGCCCTAGCAGCCTTCAACTTTAATTTGATGGTTACTTTATTGAGGGGCTGTGGTCCTAGAGATACAGCCTTATACCTTGATTATCACTGCAAACGTTTGGAAAGGTTTATTACTTGCCAGGAGTTCTTATAGTTAGTCTCACAAATACATAGGGACCCAATAGATCAGTCATTTTTTTTTTTTTAAGATTTATTTATTTGTGCATACAGAACTGGGGTACAGGCCAGAGGCTCAGGGGCGACGAGAGGCTTCACCAGAGACAGAGTGGGGAGCAGAACAGGCAGA